TTGCATAAAATCAGGACACAATAGAGACAACCACACTCTTGAATCGGACATGTGAACTCAACATGCATATTTTAAAACTGAAAGCAACAACATGTATATCTTTTGTTCAGTGATGTTTTTGCCGAGATTTGTGTTATAGAAAACTGCTTGTTCGTGCATGCCCATGAACGCACAATGTTCAGAACACATTATTTTTTGAAAATATATCAAAGGCAGCGGGCTCGTAATAAAGCAGGGGGTTTGTGTGTAAATGTCGATATAGATAAAACAGCGGTAATAATTATATTCCTTGAAGAAAACCAGGAGCCACTTTACTGTTCGTTTCAATAAAGGAACGCTACTAAAACACCGACGCATCTATATTTCCATTCTGCCGGTTTTCCTCCGAGGAATAAGGCTATTACTACTTTCTTATCCGTGTGCATAATGTTACTCGCAAATACGTTTAACGACCTACGTAAATGTTGATATGCTCGCACCCGCCAATTAGTGTGCGTGCTAACAACTAGGGGTAGATATAGTTAACTGAAAAATTCATCTACGTTAAAAGTATTCGTTAGCTGAGAACTTCAAACAAGTCAAACCTGGTTCATCATATTGCTAAAGAAATCAACGGAAGTGGAAGCTCTCAAGTTACACGTTGACTGCTCTAACTCTTCCAGCACCTGGTTTTGCCACACAGGCCTCTTCAAAAGGCAAACTTGACTGAACTATGTGGTGTGCTGTTCAACCAGCGATTTAACATTTAAAACGATTTGCAATGCTTACATGAGAGCTCGTGCATTCCACAATTTCATGTTTTTGTTCCGAAAGCTTCCATCCACTTATTCCACCACCGTTCGGACGGCTTTTCTACTTATTCGCGGTTTATCGTCGCGACTCCAGCTTCCGCTGGCCTATGCTGAATGCATGGAGAGATTCCGCGCGCAGCGGCTACATCTTGACTGCCGCTCCCGTGCCGTGAGCGACGTGCGTAATAAGAATCGGATGCCTAATACTTGGATGAAAGTTCTCGAAGTTAGCGTCACGCAGGCTCCAGTTTTTACGCCACTTATGATACAATACTGCCGTTAAAATCCGACTGTGTTTGGATTGTAAGCGACAATAGATGCCAACCAGCGTACCAGCGATGCCAACCAGCGTACCAGCGGTGCCAACCAGCGTACCAGCGATGGCAACCAGCGTACCAGCGATGCCAACCAGCGTACCAGCGATGCCAACCAGCGTACCAGCGATGGCAACCAGCGTACCAGCGATGCCAACCAGCGTACCAGCGATGCCAGCCAGCGTACCAGCGATGCCAGCCAGCGCACCAGCGATGCCAGCCAGCGTACCAGCGATGCCAGCCAGCGTACCAGCGATGCCAGCCAGCGTACCAGCGATGCCAACCAGCGATGCCAACCAGCGTATCTAGGATTCTGCCATGAAATGGCAAGGCACCCCCGCCCAACCTCACACGAGTCAACACGACACCTTTCAACGTTACTCATGGCGTTCCGATAGGTCATATCCACAAACCTGCGAACACCACAAACGTTAATAAGCCCCATCCAACGCCGCCAAGGTTGACGTCTCAAACTTAACTGAAAATTTGCTAAACAAGTTAACGGTCTCAAAGCTATCGGATGAAATTTTAACGCGAGTTACTAATTCCGTTAATTTGTGTGATTCAGGCGCCAACTTGTCAACGAGAAACTGATAACCTAATCGGTTGCTGATAATTCAACCGATTATCATCGATTTAAAGGGCAAACGGAATAGCCCCCACCTCTGCTGCCGTTGATGCTGCTGCGTTAATGGGACTTCCATATCGCTGCAGGCCGAGTTATCTCAAGTCATGAAACGAGACCATAGCACAGTCACATACCAAGGGTGAGGTACCGCGCCATGGGGTGCCTGAAGGCTATCTGTCGACCGCACGAGGATGCTCTCGCCACACCGTTTCATGCCGTGCGGAATTTTACCGACATCCGGTCCGGTCCGCAATAAACACGTTCCAGCAGCCATCTGTTCGCCTCAACAATGGACATGTCCCACAATAATGGTGTCGGCCTTTAAAAGAGCAGCGAGTGCCGCGACGGCGAGGGCCTTGTCGCGTGCAGGGGCCGTCGGGCCGGCCGCTCCGGCCCCCTCCCACGCGTCCGCGCAGCCGGGCCGTCCGAAAATACGGCAATTACGCCGACAGTCATCATCGGGAAGGTGACCGCCATTCAACCATTGTGTCGGGAATTGAATGTCCGTGCAGCGCCGTAGGACAAAACAAAGCGATGCGGCCCGAAGAATGATGCAGGATCGGTGAGGAAACCCTCGCCGGTCATCAGTGGTTTGGCGGCTCGCTGCGGCAATTGACCTCAAGGGCCAAGCGATTCGTTCTTCGCCAGGGGCGTGCATTCACGCGACACTCACGCGGCGGCTACATCAGAGCGTTCTAATGGTGTTGTCTTCACAGACTCTGTCGGACTTGGGCAGTGTTTTCCGCGGAGTTGTTTGGCCCGTTCCTCGCGTGCGCTGCGCATGGATTTAGCCCCAAGAAATGTTCGCCACAGGGGTGAAGGAATGACACTGCGAAGGCGAGGCGACATGTGTTGCTGACGGACATCCAAAAGTAACGGTATGGTGACCCGCAAGAGGGGGGCGGGGGGTGGGGGTGGAGGCGAGAGGACGCGGCTCTCCCAACCTTAGAAAGCTGCATATTCCCCAACCTCAACACATTTGGGATAGGCTCTGGCGTTAAGAGATCGAAATGTTTTCGGAGCAGTCCTGTACCCTGCCTCAACGGATTTGTTCTGCCAAACGTCTGTCTCCTAACCACCGTATTCTTTAGACCAAACTGTCCGGATGGAGCGGATCGGTCCGGACCGTCTGGACGGCGCCGCTCGCATCGGACCTTCCTTCGCGTCGCCGCCGTCGCGTGTTGCGTCACCGCGCCGGCGCGGGCGACTCGCGCGGCCTCGCCGCCGGCGCGCGCAGCTCATCTCCATAGCAGGAAAAAAAGCGCGCGCCTCTCACCGATATTACACACGGTTATAGTAATGAGCGCGCGCGGAGCGGCGGCGGGGGCGCAGCGGCCGGTCGGGCTCTCCGCCGGGCACGGTGTCGTGACGAGACACGGGAGGAGAGGGGGACGTTGACGACGGGGATGCTAGGACGGACCGTGCAGGGCCGAACGGTCTGGCCCATCCGGTGGAGAAAGACGAGCCAGCAGGCCCTTCGAGCTGGCCGGACCTCTCTCGCCATACAGCCCGTCCTCGTGTTCCGCAGCGGGCATGTGCGGCCCGGATGGTAATCTCATAATCGCACGCGTCCACGGAAGTCACGCTGAACATGCTCGTCAAAACATGACTCATCTTAACCAATACAGCGCCATACCCCTCATTGCGAGCCGTCGCCATGACACCACTGAAGGGCACTGCGCACACCACCCAGCTTCCGGTGGCCGCCAGCTGTGGTCAGCGCAAAACTACAGTGTGTTTCTTCTTTGCGTGGAGTGGCGCATCACACCGCTCCACGCGCAGATCTGCGGAAGACAAGACGTCCGAATGCCCGTCTCGCCGGGATCTCCACACCGCGCCAGCCAGGCCATGGCGGCCACGCCTCATATGGGCACGCGATAAACTCCACCGCGACCACGACACTTCGCCCCAACTAAGGCTCGCCGACCACCCGTCTGTCCGACGCCGGCGGACGCCTTGGACAGGCGGGACACGGCACCAACCGGCAGCTCCAGCGAGCCCGCGCCGATGACGCCAAGCTCTAGCGGCGTCTAATTTGTCGCCGTCGCTGTGAAAACGACCGCAGTGCTCGAGGCGCCGGCGGTCTTTGAAGTCGCCGCCAGGGTGACGTGAGCCGCGTTCCTATGCCCAGCGGCAGCGCCGCACCGAGCCCAGACATGCGCCGCGACATGGTGATGAAGGGCAGCTCGGCGGCGAATTCCTGCATCTTAGCAACTTCTGCATCCTTGAGCTAGCCGGGAAATACGAACGGCGCCGTGACATGGAGCTGCATCTGGGTCTAGCTAGTTGCATGAACGTCTTCCGAGGCCAACACTGATATGCAAAGCCATGGCTGGCGCGAGGGTCTGAACAAAAAAAAACAAAAAACAAACAAAAACCGCGCTCACACAAGCGTTTGAGTTTGATCGTGACTCCCTGTCTCCGCCCAGCCCCAGCGCCAAGCTCCAGCCCCAGTTGACACCCAGCCCCAAGCTGACGTCTTCATGCCTACTATGCACATGGGAATATTTCGTAGTTCAGCGACATTGCCTATGATTCCGTCAAGGGCGTACTGCTTGGTCCACCTGACATGAACAGGTCGTCTGGCAACTGGCCGCAGGGCCCGCCTGGGGCGGCCGTGCCGTAGCATCACACGGTCCGTAAACGCCCCCACAGTCCTGTCTGGTACTTATCTCGGGGGGGGGGGGGGGGCTACTGCTGCTTCATTGCCACTTATTCATGAAGGATCTTGATCAGTTTTGGGTGTTCTTTGAAGAGTGGGGGTCGGACGCACGCAAAAAAGCTCTGCTTTGGGAGCACTCGAAACCCAATCACTCATGACAGCGTAATGAAATAAATCACAAGACGCTACTTTCTGTTGAACTCACAAACCCCGACTGGTACCTGCCCCTCCCCCGTCACGAGGAAGTCGCCCAGCTCACGCCCAGCGCTGCGGCTGCATATTCACGCCTTCCGAGTCACGCATTAGCGTGCACACCTCCAGCCGCTCGGAGTCACGCCGTCACACTCGGGGGTGCATTAGCATTGCTGATCGCCAAGGTCGGCAGTGTCGCCCGGGCCGAGGCTCGCCGCGCCGCCCGCCGCCACACCGTCCCGCCGTCCACCCACCGCTACGCCGTCCCGCCGTCCCGCCCGTCCACCTAACGCTACGCCGTCCCGCCGTCCGCCAACGCTACGCCGCCCCGCCGTCCACCCGCCGCCACACCGTCCCGCCGTCCGCCCGCCGCCGCACCGCCCCGCCGCGCCGCCCCGCCGTCCACCCGCCGCCGCGCCGTCCCGCCGTGTATTTCCAGTGAGCATAAAGAGCACAGGGCAGTCTGGCTGGCCGTCAGGCGCCGCACACGTGGAGACACCGCGGCGCCTCACCGGCCGGGCTAATCACGCGGTCCGGCCGGTCGATCGGTCCGGGTCCATCCATCCCGCGAAGGGTCTGCCGCACCGCTTCACTATTGTCACGCCGACCGTGGCGCCACCTGCGCCGAGCCTAGCGCCACCCGCGCCGATCCTGACGCCATCTGCGCCGATCCTAGCGCCACCTATGCCGATCACGGCGTCGCCCGCCGACGGTGGCGACAAGCGCTGAACAGGAGCGTGACGCCGGCTGTCGCTAGCGCCGCAGAAGACTGAAAGTCCAGCTCTTCTTGACGAGGGCACCCTTGCTCTCCTCTTCGGCCCTGTGCCGCTGCATCGCCTCCTCCTGCTCCTGGAGTGGGAGGAGCGAGGTCAGCTCTGATCTGACATGTGGGAACGCGCAGAGAACGAATGCAACACGGCGCGGGTGGACCCCCCCTTCCCTCATGTGTTGAACGGGCGGCTCATCTGAAGGTGTTGCGACATATTTATGGTTGCCAATCAATTGGCAGCATCGTAACCATTTTATACTTAAATTCACAGCAGCAACATTCAGAGTGAGCGTGGGGGCAACTGAACGGCGCGGAATTTCCGTCATCAAACCAATCAAAACCCTCGGTCCACCATGCGTATGATGCATCATAATTTCACTCAAAGTCATTACATTTTGGCGCTTGCTCGGGGCCATCGCCTATGCGCGGCTAGCAATTGAATCCATCCACGGCACGTTAGAGCATCGAGATAATGTTTTCACGACCTAGACTAACCCTCGCGCGGCGAGGCCTGCATGCCACCTCCTCCAAGCGGCATTCCTGGGACCACGGAAAACCGTAGGATGGTTCCATTTTGTCTACTAGACCCTTAGAACATTTACTGCCTAAGTTTTGCACGGTTCCGGGTCTATGCACGTCACTGAGCTGTGGCATTTTTCCAAATATGCAGCGTCACTTTACGCCAAATACAATGTTTTGCTGCCCATTAGGAGCAAATGGCATCTTGAGACACAAGACCAGTGTCGAAAGGCAGTCTTCACATATGTAGGTCACTTTTGACTGATCAGCAAGTTATTCAAGGTTAATAAAGGTCAATAACCTGTGACGACATTACCTGATCTTTATCGATTCCAATCCCTTGTTGAGCTGAGCCTGATCAAAAAAGGTCCCAACGGTCGACCGTGAGTGAAAATCGAGCATATTTGGATTTGTTAAATATCAGGCTATCTACCATGTCCCGTTTTGCGGCTTTAGCTCAGGTTGCGGCCAAACAGCGAGGGGGAGTGCCTACTGTCCCACTCTGCCAACACCATCAAGAAGCATGCAGGAATAGCCTGGGTTTGAGAATGGGCCGCAAATGTGTAGGAAAGGTGGAAATGAAGTGTGGATTAGCCTCCTATGGTGATGAGCTGACTTCCGGGAAAGATGTCGACGACTGGCTCATGCCCAGGACATGATGTAGGTTAGTACTTCACACAACCTACTTTTATGGATGGGGCCTCGTCGCCAAAACATGCCATCATTGTAAATGTGAGCATACATTTGCGCTTTTTATCAATCAGTGCCATCAACCTTCCATGCAGTTCTTATCGAACTTTTATGGATGGAGCCTCGTCGCAAAAACACGCCATCATTGTAAATGTGCACATACATTTGCGCTTTTTATCAATCAGTGCCATCAATCTTCCATGCAGTTCTTATCAAACTTGGGTCCAGAAACTAAGCCTTCATACTAACAGCACAAATAAGTACAGAACAGCGCCACGGCGCGGCTGAGATGGCACCACCGTCGCCGCGCGGCCCCCGCCCCACCCACCTGCAGCCGCCGCTGATTCTCGCGGAAGGCCTGCAGCGGGTCGTCGTACTGACGGTAGAAGTCCATCACCTCCCGCACGTCCCCGACGCCGGACGTGGCCACGGCTGCCGGCGGGGACGGGGCAGGTCACGTGGGTCGACGGTCTAGGGGGGGGGGGGATGTGGGCGTGACCGTGTCTCTGGTGACGGAGAAGTCCATCCGCCCTGGTTCCACCACACTCGGCTAACTCAGCGCGGTCAGTCAGACGACCACAGCAGCAAGGCCGTTAGACAACGCAGGGCGACCGAGCAAAAACAAAGCGCAACGCAAATGTCCGCGACAACGTAGGTAGCCTAACACACGGCAAAAAGAACGTCATACACCCTGCAGGCACCTCGTACCAAACACTCGGCGAGCACAGCGTCCTCAACGACGCCACAGACGACTATGGCCTTGGCTTCGGCGAGACCGAGGGCGGTGCGGGTGTCTGGACGGTCAGACGGACAGACATGCTGACCTTTGAGCAGCATGGCCAGGTCCACCAGACTGCGGTCGTCGTCATTGCCCGCCCACTTCTTCACCCTGAGGTGGTTCCGCGGGTTCAGCTGTACCGACTTGTCGTTCCAGTCCACCATGATCACCTGCGGGACGCGTGGGCTCGAGCAAATAGTGCGTCTCCATGGCAACTGGTCAGCGTCACAGCAGCACAAACGACTGTTGGATCGAGTCTCTCCCCCCTCCTCCATCAGAGCAATGGGCCCCAAGTTCACTTTGGGATCCGATGCGATCAGTACCGCATACCAAAAAAAACGTGCCTAGCGGTCCATTTTATAACCACATCCCATGAGTAGAACCACCGCTTTTGCCGCCTGATCATTAATGATCCATATCCCCCTGCGTTGGCCCGCAAGATCTCCTGGTGGGACCCGCTCGGCACCGGGCAGTTCGTACCCCCGATGGCCCGGCCCACTGGCTACCTTGCTGAGGTCCCTGTTCAGACAGTTCAGATCCTTGACGTGGTGGCTGTTGACGTAGCGGGTCGAGTCCTTGAAGAGCCGGTACATGACGTACCCCTGCGGGTCCAGCGCGTCCACTATCGGCGACGCAGTCTGAAATGCAAGCAGAGACACATTATTGGTGAGCCCCGGCGGAAATACAGACATTCGTACGTCATGCAATACGAGCATAGAGTCCGAAAGGACAAATGATTCACGACCGCCAGCGGAAATACAGATATCCCTACGTCATGCAGTACGAGAAAAGAGTCTGAAAAGACGAAGGATTCACGTGCCCCAGCGGAAATACATACATCACTTTATCATGCACTACAAGAGTTGATAGCTTTATTCATTCAGAAGCGCAGCAACATACCTCACGTGCGTAAGCCTCTCTAAATTGTAGACACATCTACATCATGTGCAAAGCTACCAGCACCCAAAAACAACTCACAGCTCACTTCCGCCCCACAGAAGCGCAGGTCCAAGCCGCATCGACACCCCGCTGAACCCTAGCGGCGATCACGCGACTCCGCCGCCGCTGTACTCACAAATCCCTGCTCGGCCGTGTAGACGACGACCTCGAAGAGCGGCGGGCCGACCTGCTGCAGGAAGAAGTCGATGCCGGGCCGCTTCTTGAAGCGCCAGCCCGTCTTGTACGTCCAGTCGGGGTGGACCAGCACGCCGGTCATCTCCAGCACGAGCGTGTAGGGCGGCTGCATGTACGGGTACTGCAGCGGGTCGGGCAGCAGCTGGGCCCGCGACGGGTCCTTGATCATCTGGCGGCGGAGCGTGGCGAGACGCGTCAGGCGGGGGGAAGGGAGGAGCGGCCGCGGCGGACAGGCGGCGCGTCGGTCTCCGGCGACGCGAGACGAGGCGCTTTACGACATGGGGAGAGGGGTCTGCTGAAATTCCGCGCCACCGAGAAAAGAACTCCAGGAGCAAGGAGCGACAGAGCAGCTGAAGCGATGCACCGCACAGATAGGTTTGCGATGCAGTTACCTTGTTGTAAAGCTTGAGCTCCTTCCACGTCCTGCTCAGGTACTGCGTTACGAATGACATGTCCGAGAACTCGTCATACATGACGTTGCCCTCAGGGTCCTTGATGGGCGCCCCTGTAAACAAAGACAGCTTAGGTTCTGTGCATGTCCTCTGAAACAAAGTGGGAGCTGGACGGACAAATCGTGGATATTGAAGCATTCACGTTAAGTCTTGAAAAACATGCACAAGCGTTTTCTGGGTAACGAGATCATATAGCGCGCAGAAACGCTTCAATAAAAAGAGGCACCTACATGACGAGGCACACAAAATACACCTTGACAACAAAACGCACAAGGACAAGAAAAGACAAGTGACATAACAGTGCTATCAAACCTACCAAACTGACCCGCATAAAATGTACGACGCACCTTGAAAAATGGTCACCTAGCGCACCACACATCGGGGCCATGGCAACGATTATCCCACGTAAGCGGCTTCATCGCAGGCCAGCGGGCAACCAAAACGTACCAAACACTGCTATCGTCCAGCCGCTGAAGCCTGCCAAGGTTACGCCGAAGAAGGCGAAGGTGTACTTCATGGCCCTCCACGACGCCTCCTTCCTCTTCTCCTCCTCGGCGCGCTCGTCCTCGCTCTTCTGGCCGCCATCAGACTGCTTTCCGTCGCCGCCCGTCTTCCCCTGGCTCTCCTCCGCCTTCACCTTGGCGCTAAGGATCTCATCGGCCAGTCCGGAGCCGGCCGGCGTGGAGGTGAAGCCGGTCAGCTTGCTGCCCTCGCTGCCGCCCTTGCCCGTTGAGTACAGCGCCACAGTGGACGTCTTCAGGAGGGAGGCGCCGAGCCGCCGCAGCAGCGGCTGCGAGTCCAGCCGCGGGCCGGCGACCGTCCGGCACACCGCCTGGTGCGAGAGACGCGACAAACCCGACAGGCTGGCGGCCAGCTGTGCGCAGCGTCCGGCGGCCATCGCGGCGCACTCGGACTGACTAGTGTCGCTCGCGAGCTTACGAGCAGTATCCCTTCCGTCAGGCTCCGAGTCCGGACAGCCAATACACTTGCAACAATGCTGATATTAATTGATTGTTTCAGCTCCTGTCAACAGCTTCCTTTGAATGTTGCGGTAGACCTGAAATGGCAGTGAAGTGTCAGATGTGCATATGCATGGCAAAACTGTTCTAAATTTTTTAAAAGTTATTCTGAAGCAAGGGCAGTGTGGCAGAGGGAGGATGGGGGGGGGGGGGGGGGGGCAGAAGAACCATTGCTCCCTGCCAGCAGGCAGGGGAGGCAATACCAACTTTTTGCCAGATCAAAATTTTGGAATCCCTTTTGCCCAAAGGCTTTGTAGGTTCTCATGGATTACCAAAAGCAATGTCAAGTAAGCCTTCATAACTGAGGTAGCCCATGCTCCAGATCAGGAGTCCCTTTTGCTGGATCATGGAGGCCCCCTTCTGAACTAGGTCTCTATTCTGCATTAGGATGCAGTGCAATATGTCACAAAGACCCCTTTCTAGAACAGGAGAGTCTTTTGACATATCAAATGGCCATATATCTGGATCAGGAAGACCTGGCTTTGGGCTGACAATGCCCTTTGCTGGATTTGGAGGCCCTGTTCTGAAAGAAGGAGGTCCTTGGCTTTATTGAGAAGACCCACATGCTAATCAGAGGGGCCTTAAGTTATTAACATGGGTGTTGATACATGCCACAATTTGACAAGGATCAAGCCCTCCCCCTTGCATATGACACATGTGGAATATTCAGAGGTGGAATGGTCCTTCAGATGTCTCTCAAGTGGGCTTGGGAAAGCATTTGTACTGAGTCTGTGGTCCCATCTACCAATATGTATCATGATGGCTGACTCCCTTGGATTGGGGCAGACTATCCCCTTAGCAGAGTATAGAGTATATCTTCTAGCAAAGCCAAGGTTGCCAATTCTCTCAGCATGGGCATCCTTCAGCCTAGTATAGCCTGTGTTTCTGTCTAAGCCTCAAACACAACTTTGCCTAAGGTTGGGGAAAACATGGTCTTGGAACACCTTCTTCCTGGGGTTATGACATCCCATTATCAGGGATTAGCATCATCCATTAACCTGAATTTTGGGGTCCCACTTTCTTTGAGTTTTGATGACACACTTTTGGCTTCCATTAACATATCAACAGGGCAGCCTTAATTGGATGAAAGGGTACAAAAATTACACAATTTTAGAGGAGATCTGGCCCTACTTGAGTTTCCCACTGCTTACACTTAATGGTGCACCACCTGCCTTTGTTGAACTCTACACATGATCAACTGAGAACTACATTAGATGAACACATGTGATCATCTGAGAAGTATACTCACTCATGGCATGACACTTAATAAACATGGCAAAATCACATCTATCCTCAGGTCTTCAGGGGCTTACATCCCTGCACACAGACTGTTTGGTGGGACACCCAAAAACAGACCTCATGGTATGTTTTCCTGAGAGGCATATAAGGCAGAGTATGTCAGACAATACCCTGAGCTGGTAGCACAACCAAAATGACATGGTTAACAACCAAAAATAACAGTTGTAAACACACATCCAAAAGATGGTTAAACTATGTTCCCCTGTCTCTCATAAATTAGTGAAAAGGCAGACATTATATCTCTTCAGGCTGAGTTTTCAGGAACACAGCTAAAACAACTGCCTGCCAGCAAAATAACCACCCACAGAGCAGGGCTCCCAAGCACCATTCACACTCCACCTGATGATGTATGCACCAAACTCAGTCTGGGCTATATTGCACTGAATGTCCAAGCTGCTATAAGCTCCCACCCTAAAATTATATTTATCTGAAAAAACATCACTCAACAGACTAAAATAGGTGGTGCTAGCATCAATGCTCCAGCCACAGGACATCAAAATTTCTTGTGAACACATGCCAAGATTCTTTATCCAATGTTTCACTATGCTGGAGATGCTTTGCACATGATCTTACTTACACTCTGGAACAACATTTCCTTTCAACAACAAATAATGTATCTGCCATTTGGTCAGTCTGAAAAAATACATATGCTGCACTGGAGACCTTTTCAACATGAGTACTCTGAGCCTAGCAATTGCACATGCCACTCAGGGCCAAGCCAGATTAGCTTTTACATACATGAAAAAGTTTCTGCAGCATTTTTGACTAAAAACATCATGACTCCATGAAACATTCGCCCCCTACACACCGAAATTGATGCTGACCATTCACCCAACTGGGTGCTTGGATTCACGATGAACATGCGGTGTAATGGTTGCCGTGATTGTAGTTTGGCCTTTGGGTACTTTGGAGCGGTAGTCAGGGTAAGAACTGACTTATCTGTGGGCCGCAAATCACCACAATTTAACGTTACTTTGAAAATGATGAGCAACTACAAACGGAAACTGCCCAAAACCACTTCACACGTTTCCCGTTCCCAACCAACATATTACAGGAGCATAAGCCGGATGGGTTCCGCACCTGAACACCCACACAATCGCGTGCTTAATACGGTCCCGTCCGCAAAGCACCGTACACATGATTGCAGCTTACGCGTCACTAACGACTACGTAGGCTGCTTCCAAAACAAAATTCTCTTAGTTTCTCGAAATTTTTTCTATTCCGTATCATCGGTCCCATGTGCGTGTTTCGGACGTGTGGATTGGTGCGCTGCTGTGTTCACCCCCGTGGACCTTGGTTTGGGGCTGCGGGTTGTTCCTCTCGGTTATTCGTGCATTAGGTATTCAAAAAGGTAAGGCGATCCGCTTGGTGCTTGGGGATATCGACGCATCCCGGCGACCTGCCGGGCAGGGTGATTTTGTCACAAGTACCTACGTATCGTGGAACACTGCGTCCTGGTTTGGGATCGATAGTAAATATTACTATGTGTATTTAAGGGTCCATACAGCATAACAAGTTTTATTGTTGCATCCTACCGAAATGAGCCGAAATTTCCCTTAAGAAATATATTTTGAGCAATTAAAATGCGGGAAGACCCGGGGCCAGATTGCCAAAATACCCGGGTCGCCTGCAAAAAAGATACATGCTGCGCTGTTCACATGAGCATGTTGTCACAGGCAGTAGCAAAATTCCACCAACAATTTCAGTGCATGTACAGTGTAAGTGTGAGATCCCCATGTCCAGCGCATAATCACCAATTTCAGCACAGGGACACAATGTTTCAAGGAGTTATAACATGATGTGATGAATAACAAGGTAATTTCAAGCAAAGATAGTTTGAAAACTCACCACAGTTTGGTCTTGCCTGAGTTTCGCACACATGTGCTCCAGGTTCAGCACACCCATGTCACAAGCATTGGATGCAATGGATGATTCTTTTTTGCAGACTGGCTGGCTGATGTGCTGATTGATTTGTGACACTAAAAAAATACTTAGCCAATGGTAGGCCAAATTGACAATGATATGTATTATGCCATAACACATGTCCCATGAAGCAACAATTTTCACCTTACTGTGGAGCATACACCTACTAAATCTAAACTCTGAGTTTATTGCTCAGTCAGGACTAATTTCATTGGATAGGGGCAATATTTCATGGACATGTGATTGTGATATTGCAATGGTTATTTCAGGGAAAATACTACAACACATTTTTTTCACAGAAAAATAGTCTGTATATTCTTCATAAATTATCATTTTTCCTCCCCCAATGTTATTAGACCCCAAAAATCATGTCAACCCCAATTCCAAAGACCAGGATAAATTTTGTGACCCCACCTCCCTTTATATTATAGGTATGTGCACCACAATACTTTTTCAAAAACAGTAGTATATAATAGAAGCAGTCATTTGTCAAAGTGTGGAGAGGTTCATATGTTTTGCAAGTTTAAAATGTTTAACAACTGACCAAATGAGCATTTGTGAGCTCACTGGTGCATCTCAAGAGTGGGATCTTGACATTTCATGCCACCCTGGAGTGGAAACAATTCTTTTCTATCAGGAGAGGTCCTGGCCAGAGCTCCAATAGGCCCCCACTGATGTTCCAGATTATAATATTGACTTAACATAGGTAAGGGATACCGCTGTTTGTCCTTTGTTGCTCAATAGTGCTTTAAGTATTATAGCATATTTTTGTGCTTGGTGTATGTGATAAAAATGGAGAACTGCTTGTAGGTCTAGTCCAAGTCCAGGCACTAATCCAGGCAAGATATCACCACACACCAGGACACACAAGCAGAATCGGGTGTTAGGTTTTTTACAGGTAGTTCTCAATATGCATTGAGGTGACAGAAATTGGGCATAGGTCACACTTCACACACATTTGGACCTTTTACTTTTTGTCAAATTTGCATGATATTCAAACAAAGGTAGATGGTTATGAAATTGTGCATTTGTGGATAATGATTTGGTGCATTAGCAGTTGTTTCACACAAGTCATGCATGAGGGCACAAGTTTGTATTCAGTTGTTATAGGGGTTCTGCCACCTTCCACCACCTCACACTTTGACATTAACCTGCCAACTTTGAAAGAAAAGTGTATGAAATGTGTCGAAAACCGGGTGCTGTGTGAAAATAAGGATACCCAGTTTGTAGTTTTCAGGTAGCACCCATCAACTGGTTATGCAAGACCATTTCCTTGGCTATGCATTTTGTAATATGATCTTTAGCAATCCCACTGTTGACAAATATGCATTTTCATATGTTGTTCAGTGCATTAGCGAGGATCATTACCAGCATAGATACGACAGTAGTATTAGCCTTATTCTTTGGAAAAACCAGGTGAATGGAGATATAGTTTGGTTGATATTTTGGCAACATGCCTTGTTTTGATAGGGGCGTGTTGCCAAAATGTCAACCAAACTATTTCCGCTCTCCTGGTTTTCTGAGCAATAAGGTTAATGCTACTGCCTTAGCAATATGCTTGCTCCATAGACTATCTCTCTCAAAATATTTGTCATGCCCCAATGCAGGAAATTTTCTGATTATATGCTATAAGCAGCACACTTGCACAAACAAGCACATGCTAACATGCATGTACTGCACAGTCATCTACCTATTCTGATCCCTCAGGCTCTGTGCGCAGAATATGGTTCCAGGGATCTAGATTGGAGCCTTACCATTGCATGGGTCATGGGACTGGAGGGTTGATTTCAAGGCAAGACTGTACCTGGGAGCCTCACTGCTGGGTTCATCTTCACATTGAATTAACCCTGTGACCAGTCAACCAATCTGCTTTTTCTGCCATGTCTTGATAGGGGGCTGTGCCAGGACATGGCCACCAAAGCTGGCTTTCAACCAGAATCAGCCCACATACTTTGAACTGTGACCTAAACCGTGACCTCAGTTGTGACCAGACTGCGACGGCGGGATGGACCCGGAGACGCAGGAGAGCGTGCGGGACAAGCTGGAGCGCGCCATCCACCTGCTGGAGGTGGTGAGCGCCTCTGACCCCGAGGACGAGCCGTACAAGTCAAAGTACGCCGCCCGCGAGCTCCTCAACGATGCCAGGTTCCAGCTGGAACGACACATCGAGCAGAGCGGTGAGTGTCCGGTGGGGCGCTGCTCTGGTCAGCTGAAGACAGAGGGGCGATTCAGAGCAGATGGTAAGGTTGTTGGAGAATCTGAGAGAAGAAGGTGAAGCATTTGTATTTGGATAGTTGGTAAGGCTATCATGTTTCATCAGCTGTGACAGCTCTGGAATGCAATCACAAGCTGAATCTAACATAGGCCTCAACCTATGTGAATGCCCGAAGCGAGCAGAAATATGTTTGAAAAAATCGCTGGCAAAAGAGTTTGTTGTGCCAAACATAAATGTACTCGCACGTGTTTTTGTTAGGTCATGTGAAAACTTCAAATATTCATACAGGCTTTTTGAATATGCTGGTTCCAATATTGTTTCCGCGGCCGGATGAGATGCTTAGCTTTGGTGCACATCTTTTCCGTAGATACGAAGCGAACATGTATTTCTGTTATTTCACCTCAAAACATGACGGTACCGCTGTCCATCTGCCGTCATTTCGCATCCCTGACTCATTTCCCTGCAAAACTGTGCTCTGATGAGCCTGCGTGCCGCCGGGTCTTGTCTCGGGCCCTGGCTGGGGCCCGAGCCCCGCCCCCGTCACCCGCACCCCGGCCGCGCTGAGAGCCGCCGTCCCGCCGCGCCGCCAGACGTGATCGGCCCGGCGTCGCACCAGCTGGCGGCCGTGCTCTACTACCTGGGCTACATCGGCGTCGAGACGGACGAGCCGTCGGCCGGCGAGGAGCTGCTGGAGGCGAGCCTGCGCGCGGCGCCGGCGCTCGGGCCCTGCACCGTCATCAGCACGCTGAGCGCGCTCAACCAGCTGGGCCTAGTGTGGAGCCGCCGCGGCGAGCACAACCGCAGCCAGCACTACCTGCAGACGGCGGAGACCGTGTACCAGCAGTACCGCGACCAGGTCACGCTCAAGGTGTGTGCGGCGGCGGCGTCGGTGCGGGGGGGGGGGGCGTCAGGGAACGCGCGAGATCGGCGCGGGGGCGCATGTTGGGGAACGCGCGAGATCGGCGCGGGGCGCATGTTGGGGAACGCGCGAGATCGGCGCGGGGGCGCACGTTAGGGAACGCGCGAGATCGGCACGAGGCGCGCGCCAGGTGCAGACACGGTGACGAGGAAGACGTGCGCGTGGTAATCCTAGGGGGGTGGGGGTGGGGGGTACCGTCAGGCGGGGCCAAGAGCACAAACTGCTCCTAGTCTTGCGTTAGAGGTAGGATAAGGCTACATGCGCGATCGCTTCACTGCTGAGAAGTGTTCGGTTGCATGCCACTCGCGGCGTGAAACGGTCGCGTGATGATGTCTGACCTTGTTGACCTTGTCGATGTCCGGCGGTGTCCGCTGACCTCCGACGACCCCCGCGGCAGCCGGTGGAGATGTCCGAGCTGTTCCGGGAGGGTCGTCCCGACGATGAGAAGACGGATGACTCGAAGGAGGGCCGCAGCGGCCAGACCAAGCTGGAGGAGCTGCACACCCTCACGCTGTACTATCTGGCCCAGGTACGCCCCCCCCCCCTCCCCCCTCTCTCCTTCCGCTTACTACGTCGGTCGGCATGCGTGCCGTGTGGTCGGCGGTAATGTGGACGGACAGTGTATCTCCGGGGTGTAGCCGGCGGAGCAGTGCGCAGTGAGCGGCCTCGGCGCGGGAGGTCTGGGTCCCGAGCCCCCCTGCCGCAGCAGACTCACTGCCCTGGTCTCCACCAGAAGCGACGACGCTTCGGAAGGTAGTCTTATGCAGTGCTAACTGCGTGATTTACTTTTTTCCTGATTGCGAAATGACCATTACAGTCGATACGTCCTAAAACACCAAAGACAACGACTGTTAGTTTTTCTTAGGTAGTTTATCGGACTTCCCCGCCTGGTAAGCGTGGTGGGCCAATGCATTTCTTTCACGTCCCCCTAGGCGTACAACAACGTGGGCGAGCCGGTGAAGGCGGCGCTGTACTGCCACAACACGCTGTCCCGGCAGCTCGACAGCGCTTCCTTCGACAAAGT